GACTGGGTGTAGGTAGAATGAAGGACTGGGTGTAGTGGAATGAAGGACTGGGTGTAGGTAGAATGAAGGACTTGGGTGTAGTAGAATGAAGGACTTGCCTTCCTTGATAAAAGGAAGAAAGGAAAACGGATAGAATGTTTAAAAATGAGAACAATAATTTAATTTTATAAATAGTGACTGGGTGTATGTATTGGGGAGACAAATAATAACTGTGTATTTCAGTCTCACTTAATGGCTGTACGTAATTGGGTACAGATTTCTCTCCCCGTACAAAGGTTTCTAGTGGCCCTTCCACAAGGGCAAGCTTTGGTTATCTGAGAGAACTTACACTTAATAGCTGATCTAATATGATGAAAAAGAGAATGTTTTATATTTAATTCACTAATATGCTCTTTCCTTTTATTTCCATCTAATGGCTTTGTCTTTCTCTTGTTTGTATAGGCTTTGGTGAAGCACGTCCAGTCTAAAGGATATCCAAATGAACGTTTTGAACTTCTCACCAACTTTCCTCGAAGGAAATTATCTCATCTGGACTATGATATTACATTGCAAGAGGCAGGCCTTTGTCCTCAAGAGACTGTCTTTGTACAGGAAAGAAATTAACACCATGGCTTGACCTCTCTCAGCTTACCCCTTTTTTCCCTTTTCCTGTGAGATACCATGTCACTAAGTATGCATTTTGGCTCATAGGACCACAGAGCCAAAGTTGGGCAAGCAAGTCACCTTCCTTCTCTTATTTCTTAATCTCTCCTGTAGTCAGTCTCTTTCTCCCCCTTTGTTTCTTTCTCTTCTGTTTTCTCCCTCCCTACTCCGTACTCTTCCGCCTCCCCCTACACTTTCTTACCTAATCTGGTGACCAAATTGAAGTGTAAGAATAAGACCTCTCCTAGTACTGGCAGCAGGAATTGTGTGTCCCAGTAAGTGGTCTTTTGCACGGCACTTTTTTGGGATCAAATGTTAACGTTACTCCCCAGACTCTTTGGGCAAAGGAATGGCTAGATTCAGAGTAAGAACAACCCTCCCTTTTTTGTAAGCCCCCATGTGTAGTAGGGAGAAGAAATTCTCTAACGTGGATTTGGTTTTGTTGTGTTCTTCATGTAGGAAATATCACTTAAGAAAATATCCAGGCTTTTGTTTCTGTGGAAAAAGCATCCCTTGTAATTATTGCTCATCATACCTAAAAACTTTTTTCAAAGGATTTTCATGTTCCCAGCTGTAAGAACTATTTCCATGACATGTGTTACTGGCGGAATGAGTGTTAAATATGGAGCATATAGCACGGGGTGACTTTCATTGTCCTAGCTGAGAGAGTTTTCTTTATTACTCTGTATTGATCCTGCTAGTCCAGGAGTGGACATTAAGTGAACCTGTCGTGGTGACTGGGATGGGAAGATGCTTGCTGTTTTTGCCAGCACAGCAGATTAGCTCCTTTGGAGCCCTCCATTGTCCGAGTCTGCAGTGATCTGTAGGAAGGCAGCTGGTCAATGATCATGTAATACAATGGCTTGTAATTGTAACCACTATGGTTATTGATTGTCCTGTGGTGGTTCAGGCATACTTAGGTATGTCCCTGGGGAAAAAGAAAACCGTTCAGCTGAGAGTTGCTAACCATGTTCTTTTGGTTAGAAATAATGGTTCATTTTTTGCCCCTGGTTGGAACAGTCTCTGAAAGGCTGTGGTGACTGAATTGAACATGAGTCCGCATGCTGTTTTCTTTCAAAAGGTATCAGAACTGAAAGCCTCTGTAAGGGGAAGACCTTTAAACTCAATTCAAAAGACAACATTTAGTAAAAAGGGGGGGTGGCGGAGGGTGCTAGTCATTTTCAGATGTTGTGGGGTTTTTCTGCCAACAAAACCGAAAATCAAATTTGAGTTGGTGAAAGCTTTCTTCGGTGTTTTTTAGAAGAGGCCATCTTGAATCTGTAGAATACCATTTACACACCAACTTCACCCTATGCTCAGTTCATATTTTGAGCTTAAATGGAATCCTCTGAAGGGGTAGTCGTGATTCTAGAAGTTTTAACTTGTAAAATGAAAATATTAAATGGACCTTTTTGTCAATTGAGGATTTAGATTGATTCTTTTATCCGAGGAACGTAAGTTCCTCAGCTATTGCTTAGAGACCTTTAGGTTGTCATCTACTTTAAGATTGCTCTCTTGGCAATTAGGGGGTTGGGGAAAAGAAGAAAAAAAGATGCTATGTGTTGCTAGTACACAGTTATAGACTATGGTTTCTAATGGTTGAATTTTGAGGAACCCTCCCAAAAGAATGAGTTATGTATCTCCTCAAGGAAATCATGGACAATTCTGTTTATTCTTCAGTGAGTCCTTTTGAATTAATGTTCTTACATTTTTTTCTAAGTCTGTGTAAGTGCTTATGTATAAGTATATAATTGTATAAATATTTATAAATATATTTATATAATTACAGTTTCATTTCTACCTTGAGTCAGAGTTCTCTCTTTAGATTGGTGACTAATACTTACACTTTGGTGTTTTTTCATAGGCTCTTGAGGCTTAACTAGCAGCTTCTGATTTATTGAGTGAGAGATGGTTTTCATGTTCATTCCTCAGTTGTATCTCTGAACTTGGATAACATACTTGCCGTTTGAAGAATAGAGCTGTATATTATCAAAGGTGCACTGGAGGGTAAAACATTTGTTGGTAGCAGACAAGGTCAGAAATCTAAAAATTCAGGGAGGCACAGGGTAAGAAGAGGAGGTTTGCTCAGCCTTGCGCTCTGATGGTGCCCATCTGTACTCCAGCAAAGTCATAGCTGAAGCCCAGCTCGCTCAAACATGTCAAGTCAGCCACTTTTCCTGTCGGGCTCTGTTTCATTCTCTTTACCTTCTAGCTTCTCTTGATAGAACAGCTGGGAGAACTGACAACATGTTCATCAGTGAGAGGGTGTAGTTCTTTCTGACATGTTCAGCACGTGCAGATTCATTGATGAGAAACCAAAGTGACTTTTTCAACTTGGGTTACTGCGGGATGGTTAAGTAGAGATAAAGTGATTTAAAAGACAGCATGGTACTTTCACCCAGCTTAACATGCAGCTGGGTTGTCTACAATACAAGATGTGGTGGGCTTTGTTTTATTTTATTTTGAGGCAGGAGTGTAATTATCTCAGGGTTGATATAGAGGCCCATGGGAATAGTTACGGATTGTGCACGAGAAGAGTCCATAAGGAGTATTGCCTTGCTCAAGAGTTCAATCCACTGACAGAGTAGGCGTCTTCCAGTTTGCCTTATTTCCTCTGCAAGTTTCCTTGCTCTTTAGGGCAGAGGTTTTATTGAATAGATTAAATGAGGTCAGTAAGGTTAGTTAAAAATAGTCATTCTTTGTGGGTGTTGGACACAGCTGAGAGTGTTAAAAAAAAAAAAAAAGCTAGAGAGGAAAAGAACAAGAAAGATAGACTTCGAGAGTGATAAGAGAAAAATACAGGGAGATGGAATGGAAACTACTGGGAAGGCCAGGCCATGGTGGCTCACGCCTGTAATCCCAGCACTTTGGGAGGCCGAGGTGGGCAGATCACCTGAGGTCAGGAGTTCGAGACCAGCCTGACCAACATGGAGAAACCCCGTCTCTACTAAAAATACAAAAATTACCCGGGTGTGATGACAGGCACCTGTAATCCCAGCTACTCAGAGGCTGAGGCAGGAGAATGGCTCGAACCTGGGAGGCAGAGATTGTGGTGAGCCAAGATTGTGCCACTGCACTCCAGCCTGGGCAACAGAGTGACACTCCATCTCAAATTTAAAAAAGAAGAAGAAGAAGAAGAAAACTAGTGGTAAAAAAGTGAGAGGAATACTTTTTTGAATTTGATATCGGAAGGAACTGGAGAAGAGAAAGAACAGTGCCAAATGAGAAAAGAACAGGAAACTTAATACTGAGTAACTGGCATGCGCTAGGTACTTTTATGTACATTTTCTTCTTCAGTCTCCCTAAGAATTGTACGAAATATATATTTTCTTCCCATGTTAAGAAAACAGGTATAGAGAACTTATTCAGGATGTCACAGCTAGTGAGTGGCAAATCAGAATTGGAATCCAGAGTCCATACTGTTTCAACGTCCGTGCTGTGTTCTCCGACAGCAAGAGAATCAAGCCACCCAAATGGTTATCTTCTCATTGTTGGGCTTTGTAAATTATCATTTAGTTTTGTTCCCATAAATATAGAGGAAGTAGTTGGGTTAAAGTTTTGGGATTTGCACTATGCCTATAAATGTTTATTTATGCCATTATTTTGAGAGGCTGATTATTGCTTTTTTAAAATGATGCACTGGTGAAGATGTGAAAGGAAAATTGCTATGTGGCATTATTTGCCAAGAATAAATGAAAAGGGTAAAAAAAGAATTTTTTCTTTTTTTAAACATTTTTCAGAAAAGACACAATTATCTTTTTTTTTTTTTTAAAATATAGGCGAGTGCCACCACGCCTGGCTAATTTTTGTATTTTTAGTAGAGACAGGGTTTCACCATGTTGGCCAGGATGGTCTTGATCTCTTGACCTTGTGATCCGCCCGCCTCGGCCTCCCAAAGTGCTGGGATTACAGGCATGAGCCACCACACCCGGCCTACAATTCTGTTTTCTGTGTCCCATCCATACCAGATTATTGAACCCTCGGTGTGTATGTTTTTAAATCTTATATATAATTCTTCCTTGACTTAGACATCAACAACTAGCTATTGAGTTCTTTATAGAAGTTGGAAATATTTTGAAATCTGAGATCTAATTCCTGGCCAGGTGTGGTGGCTCACGCCTGTAATCCCAGGGAGGCCAAGGTGGGGGAATCACCTGAGGTTGGGAGTTTGAGATCAGCCTGGCCAACATGGTGAAACCCTGTCTCTACTAAAAAATATAAAAATTAGCTGGGCATGGTGGCTCATGTCTGTAATCCCAGCTGCTGGGGAGGCTGAGGCACGAGAGTCTCTTGAACCCGGGAGGCGGAGGTTGCAGTGAGCCGAGATCACACCCCTGCACTCCGGCCTGGGTGAGGGAGCGAGACTCTGTCTCAAAAAATAATAAATAAGATCTGATTCCTGCCTGTTTTATCCAGTTAGGGAGACACACTACACATGAAATAACTGGAGAGCATGTAAATGTTTACCTATTCAAGCTTAGGAAAAGGGAAGAGTATGTTTTAGTCAGCAAAGTCTTAAGCAAGACTGAAAAGTGGCAAGCACTGTAGCTCAGATTTTCTTTTGACTCACCCATTTCTTTAGCTCCACCTTTCGTAACTTTAGATTTAGGTCATGAAGTTCTGCCAGTAAGGCATAACCAGTACCCAAGTAAGAAAGGATTACTGATCCCCCAGAGTAAACGTTTCTAGCTAGCAGGGATCTCACTTGTACACTTCGGAAAAATGCCAGAGGGAGCCACTAGCAACTGAAAAATGAGGAAGATTTAATTTCTCTCCAGGTACAAATCAAATGCACAGCATAGTACATATTATATGCAGAAAGGGCACTAGGGGTGTGAGTGTACTTGGGTAACAGCTCTGCTAGTTGTTACTTCACACTTCTCTTTCTTCTTAATCTCGGGTTTCTCATCTGAAAAATGAGAGAATTGGACTAGATTAATAGTGCTCAGCCTTTTCTAGACCAGCAAATTAGATTATCTCTGAAGTCCTTTTTCCACTCCAAAATTTTACGCTTCCAGTCTCTCCCCTTTATTGCATATTATCTCTAGGCTAATTAAAAGTGTGCTGGTTAATCATTTTCTTTTTTTTTTTTTCTGTGTTCAGGTATCATTTGACCAGTAACTTGCTCCTAATCTTACTGGGATGACTGAGGAGAGTATAATAGTTATAGGTCTAGTAATAATCTTTTGAACAATTCATTATTTTTTAAAACTTAATGCCGTGTGCCTAATCAGTATTGAGTATGACTAAAATGTAAATGAGAACCAAATATGTCACTAACGCTGGCACTAAATTTTATTTTTACTTGTGTACTTAAAGTACTTTACTGGCCTGTTGGGAAGTTGGTTTGTATAAGTTGTAAGATTCACTCCTGGTTTTGGCAGAAGCAACTTTTTAAAGATACAATTAGGCTGACTTTTAAAAACGTTTTTTATCCCATAGAATGTATCTTTATTATGTGATTCTTACCCTCTCTCTGCCTTTTTTGACCATCATTTAACTACTCAGTAGTAAATCATGGGGTGCAGGCTGATGAATTAGTAGTCTTGTGTAAAACTAAAATGTAATGAGCATAGGAAGAACCAGCTCTTCTGGTGAACATGGCAGTTTTCCGGTACTACCAGCCTTGATGAATAGGCTGAAGACAGCTGTGTACTATGGACATTCGACTTCACTGGATTGCCTTGCTTAGCATTTCAGTTATTGTCTTGCCATGAAACGTGGTGTTGCACAGTACACATTTTAGAATAGTGGCAAGAATGTTCTTTAGAACTGCAAATAACCCAACAGTGTACCATGCCAGTATATCGGCTTCTCCTGTTATATAGAGATTTGGTATTTCAGTGATGGTTATTTTGGTTTTTGACTCACCTGTGTGTCAGTCCTGCTACAGAGACAGTATAGAATCAAGAATTTCTTGACGTCTTTTTAAAAATAGAGATTATAATGTCCTTGGTGGTTTTCCTGTGAAGTGAACTTACATGGCTGGATTATTGAATGTGACAGTGAGACTCTTAATTAGAAAGTCTTGTAATCCTGCTTTCTAGTTTCCTTCTCCACCATTCAGTTTTAACATTCATTCTCTGAAAATAGCTATGATTTTTAATGTAATTGGCTATGTTTAAGAAATTCCATGTCAAAGTCTTAATATGTAACAATCTTCATTTTTTATAAAATTGAAGGAAATTTTTGAGGCAAACTTACTTTTATAGCTCATTTTTTCTCTAACTAAGGAGAATTCTCTGGTTTCAAATAGAGAATGGCTAGCTCTGTGATGCCCCACTCTCTTTGTGGCCTACCAGTTACTGTTTTGTTGCTTAAAATTGCAGATATTCTTATAAATGTGATGATTTTTGGCACAGGCCTTTCTTTGCCATATTGATTTCAAAATAGAGTTGGGTAATCCAATTTGAACTACTTTAATAAACATAATTTAGCATTTCTGTAATGAGAAAGTATTTTCAAAAGATAACCAGATTTACTTCTAGGATTAGAGATGGCAAATACCAGTGATAGTATTTTTCCCAAGAACCATCACATGTTAATCTATAAATATGAGAAGTTGTAGATATTGTCGTACTTAATTCTTTGGCAACAAACAGCAAGTTTTTATTGTTTGTTTAATTGTATTTCCTCTAGAGATCACAATACTCTGGGTATTTTATATCCCTTCTAAAGGTCATTTGGATTTTCAAATGGGAAGAATAGTCAAGCTAAGCTGGACTAAACCTAAGTAATATTTTATCTCATCAAAAGAAGTTATTAATCCAACTGGGTTAGCATGAGTCATTCATTTTTTA